CCCATACGTCTCCAAAAACCCCTTGAACAGCCCAATAGCATGCTCAACATCCCAACTGCCTCCCATCTCCCTGATGGAATGCATCGACAGCTGCGGATTTCCCAAATCCAGCGTCCGAACACCCAGCTTAGCGCTAAGCATAGGCCCGATCGTGCTTCCACACGGGCTATCATTCCTGACCACAAACACCTGCAACGGCACCTTGGCGCGCTTGGCCACCTCCTGCAGCAGCACAATCCCGGGGCTATTGGTCGCATACCGCTGGTTGGCGTTGACCTTGATCACGGTGCCCCTGTTCATCTCCGGTCTATGGTTGGCCTCGTACTTGCCGGCGTAGTTGGGGTGCACCGAGTGGGCCATGTCGGCGGACACCAAAAAGGAGGTGGCGAGGGTTTGCTCGAAGGCGGTTTCGGAGACGGGGGTGGTTTCAGTGGAGTCGGCGTTCAGGGAGGCGATGACGGAGAGGCGGCGGAGGATGGCGGGGAGAAGGTTGGAGTCGGCACCGTGGGCGGAGAGAGAGCCGATTTCTTCGTGGTCGAAGCAGGAGACTAGGCGAATGGAGGTGTCGTTGTCTAGGGTGGACTCCGAGGAGACGGAGTTGATGAGGCCCATGACAGAGCAGTACGTCATGTTGAGGTTGTCGAGGCGGGCCGAGAAGATGAACTCGTCGTTGAGACCGCCCAGGCACGAGGGCTGCGTGTCGTACAGGATCAGCTCGAAGTCGACAATGTCCGAGGCGGACGAGATGCCGGCGGCGGAGGCGACGACGGAGAGGAACTGCGAGTGGTGGCGGTCCGTCATAGCCTTGAGAGGCTGGAAGTCGGCCTCGGCCTCCTCAGTCGCCGCGCTCTCGGGGGCAGCCTCAGCGGGCTTGTTGAGCTCTTTCTCCATCAGACCGAGGATGGGCAGCATCTCATCCTCCTTGTTGGGGTCAAAGTTGGATTGGCGATGCAGGTGGATAGCCAGAGTGGGCACACGGAGGATGGGCTTGTCGACCTTGACCAGCTTCTGGACAAAGTTGCCGTCGCCATCCTTGACGAGCACGCGGCCGGCGACGCTGAGGTCGCGGTCGAACCAGGTGTGCCAGAGACCGCCGCCGTAGAGCTCGACGCCAACCTGCTGGAAACCGTGGGCGCTCTTCTTGCTGGCGGGCTTGACGCGCAGGCAGGGGGAGTCGGTATGGGCGCCGATCATGCCGATGGGGTTGCCGGGCTTCCACTTGCCGCCGACGGCGAAAGCGACAATGGAGGAGCCGTTGCGCGTCAGGTAGTACTTGCCGCCGGGCTGGACGACTGAGGCCCAGTTGTCGCGCTCGCGGATGAGCTTGAAGCCGGCCTTCTCAAAGAGGGCGGCCGACGTGGCTACGGCATGGTAGGCTGCAGAGAGAGAAGGGTTCAGACTCTGGTCAGCTCACGAGCTCATGATCTCAAGCTTCCAATCACGACAACTGGAAAGTAAACAAACTGAAACATACGAGTGGGAGAGGCGTTGACAAAGTCAAGAAAGCCGTAGGCGGACTTGGGAGGGGCCATCCTTGCAGCAGTTGATGAGAAGAAGTGGCAGCGGACCACGTGGGAGCGAATCGAAGAAGCTGTGTTACTGTTGGGTCTAAGACTGAAGCTATGAATGGTGGCCGAAAAAAGACGCAACGATGGTGATGCTCGAGAGGTCGCTAGCATTGAGGAGCTTTTCGCCGTGTGAGGAAAAAAGGATATCGAGATCTAGGTTTGTAGATCTGAGGTGTGAAGCAGGTATGTCGTGACCTCGTGAGGGGGAAGGTACTTTTGCTTTTGGTCTTCGATTGACGACGTCTAATAGGCGGGGAAGCTATCATCTACCTAGGAAGGTACTAACTGAACATTCTCCTCTTAAGCTCTTTGGGGCTTAAAAGGAAAATAATGTTAGTCAGGCAAAGCGGCGGGAAGGTCCCGTCCGTTGCGGGGAGCCCGGGGTTAAAGCGGCCATGGTTCATGGATGATGGATGGATCGATCTCGGCAATGATATCGTGAACAAGAGCAACGGGACGTCCATTTCGCATCTCGCATTGCGTACTGAGTATTGTCTGTTTGTAAGTATGTGTTGGTGAGGATCACCAGGACAACGTCAACTCTCTTCTCTTTCACCAGTCTGAAGGTCCGTTTATCAAGCTCTCTTCAGCGTGGGTTTGCTGTAGTGTCACTGAAATACCCTTGCCCATGTCCAACCCTGACAAGTATGTCACCCAATCCGATGCGATGCATTACTTACTCTTTCACCTTCAACCCTGAAGCTGCCTCCTTTTACACTACTTGGGAGACGATGAAGGCATCATGCTTGAATCAACCTGGTTAACGGCAGACAGACAGCTTGTCTGGTCTGGTGGGATTCGCCGGCGTTGCACCACAGCTGCCGCAACCTCTCCAGAGGAATGCACCTCGTCTTTCTCTCTGCAATGCATGTTGGTCGTCCACGGCCATTGGTCTATTTGTATGCGAAGCTAAAGTGACAGTCCCGTTTGTTTGAAACGCTCTTTTGGACCCATTCAGCAGCGCTTTCTTTAACTTGGGGTGCAAACAATGCTCCATGTCGAAAATCAGGGGCAGCTAGTAGAAATCGCTTTCGCCCCGGTTTGAGATGAGACACGATTGTTTTCCATGGGGGCTTGACTTATCACCTCAACAACGGGCCTTTTCTCTTGCTCTTGTTTGCCTTGACTTACCTTTACCTTGCCGGATGATGACCCACCTCACCTCAACAGCCAGTGTGCCATTTGAGCCGTCCGGATAGCCTTGAGCACTGAGCCAGAAAGACTACAGATGGAAGCTGAAATGTGAACCCTAATCGCTGTTGAAAAAGGGCGACTGTGGGTGAGACGAGCTGAATTGTGTCGCCTTGGACCTAACGGACCTGCCCAATGAGTGAAGTTGGGGGCCAAGAGGCGAGGGGCCCTGCATCCGTGAGCCAACAACTGCCCTAAATGCCCCTTGGGGCCAATTTCAGAAAGTGTCGTCCGAGAAAAAGAAAAGAAAAGTACCGAGTGGGAAACCAGGACAGGATGCTGATTCAGATGGGGAACCGCTGGAAGGTCAAAATCGGAAAGGCCTGAGTGCGAAAAGTGTCGGTATGTAGTCATCCTCAAGCGGAGGGCTCGCACTTCAGATGACACGGATAACACGCCATAGACCCCGAACGGGCCATTGTCAGAGCCAACTGCCGACCGAACCGACGACAACTTGGTCGATACCGTTGTTGATTTTGTCAGTTGCTCCTACATCATTTCATTGTCAGCCGGTCTGTCGTACACCGCCGCTTCATATCGACATCCAACTTGAACAATGAGATTACAGCCCTGGGAGATGAGATTTGCTGTTCTGTCGAATTTCAGTTGTCGACTTTGCGACGGGAATACCGGTACGTACCGCTGCGACATGGCACATGGACCAATTCAAGCCCAAGAACGATTACAGGAGGCCCCACCACGTTACACCCTCGCTCTGATCCCCCGCTGCCGTCAAGAATAGTGGCGCACTGTGTACACTTTTCCGCCCTTTTTCGTTTCGGTCACATCTGTCTCATCCCATGCATCTTCAACCCCAGCAAGGCCGGACTCAAGGACTTCATCAAGCTCATTTCAGACAATGGCACTGCCAGGCTACGACATCTCGCAACAGGCAACTGAAGGCAGCAAGCTCTCGTCTAGAGGCAGTCGGGCACGTTTGTCGGTGAATCAAGGCCGTGACCATTTCACCGAATGTCGAGGCTACCAATACCTTACCAAAGTCAGCCAGGCACATTTTTACCGTCAGAAGGGCATCCAAAGGGAAGCCTAGATGGTACAAGGTGGGTTGCACAAGTCCTTGTTCTCGAGTTTTGGGCACATTATACTGGTTTGGCAAGGACACGAGACGACACGAGAGACGGGAACCCCGTGGCAGCAACCAACTGAAGGGAACCACATCCCGAAACTTTGAAATGCCAGAGCTACACGTGGATTTCCCGTCACTGTACAGAACGACACAAAATCAAATATCCAAGGCCCTTCATGTGGTGTTAACTCGAGGTCGCCAATCCCATTTCCACAGTCGATCATTCTTCCATACCAAGGACCAGACGAGCCAGGTTAATGACCATCATCCGGCAGCAACCTTTCCCATCAACGGAAAGTCCCAGTGCCAGCCTGCCAGGGGTTTCAGGCCAACAGACTCCGGACACTGAAATCAGGGTTTGGGTGTTACGTGCATAGGAGATCCTTGCGCGCACCTCTGCCACTGTCCACACCATACAGCACAGTGCAACGACAGTGACCTTCATCAAAGATGAGAAATGCCAGTGACGGCTGAATCTGAAGTGTTGTCAACCACAGCCGTTGTCTATCTCATAAGGCTCGTGAGGAAGGCGAACCATTCAGCGCAACCTGTTACCGAATCTCGACACTTTAGTCCGAAAGCTCGTCATGACCCAGACCAACAGTCCAAAGGCTTCCGGTACTTGTGTTTTCATTCGAGGCTGAAGGTCCCGGACTTCGCAGATGGTGGCGCTCTTGGGACCCAATCGCCAGCTTCCCTCTGTGTATTCTCTTCTTCCTGGTTCCTTGACCGCTGCAGAGTATTTCTGAAAAGAGAGAAAGGCTGGGTGAATTCATTCCCTGCTAACGGGCAATTCGAGAGACGATGGGGGACGACATTTTCTACGACACAATAGCGGCGAACCGTCACACCAGCAGTACTTGGACTGAAGGGTCTAGATCTGGCCGACCTTGGCCCCAAGTTCTTTGATATTCAAACAGGATGAACTTGACCCGCTTCTTACCATTCTTGGGAAGCCTTACGGTGGCTATCAGTCTTTACGCGGGACCTTTTGAACTGCAAAGCCCAACATTATCAGAACAGCAAATGCGATCATCCCCGCAACGCGGCAATTCTCGACCTACAGATGGCATCCTCTTGTCATTGTCTCTCTCCTGGACCCGGTGGAGAATGAGGGATAAAAGCTCAACTTCCAAGCCAAGATAACCATTAAAGCCCGCATGGCTCAGTGGTAGAGCGCATCACTAGTAACGTCATAACATGATTAACATGATGAGGTCGTCAGTTCGATTCTGGCTGTGGGCATCAATGCCTAATGAAGCTCATGATCTTCTCTTTTTGCTGTTTTTCAGGTGATGCCATGGAGTCGTGACTTTTTTGCGGGTTGAGAAGTTCCGTCTCTTCACTGGACGGCGGCGCCCGGCGTTCATCCCGCGCTCGCCTAAGAAGGTCTAGCAGCGGCACCTAACGTAGCGTGCTTGTACCTTAAACCCCGACTCTCAAGTCCTCGATTCCCGCCAAGTATGCAAAGCTGATGCCTGTGCGGTGTAACAGACACAGATGACCCAAAGTGGGAGCGCGAAAAAGATGAAAGTAGGACGGAGTCCAATGATAGGTAGGCGAAAGATATCTGCAACCAATTCACAAAGTTTCAACACACGGAGAAAAAAACATGGGAATTTGGTTGGTGACTATATCCAAGCTACACTACGACACAGCTAGTTAGCTAGGCTGATAGTCGTGAAACTAGGTAGTTCATGGACCCGGACTCGCTTGAAACAAACCATTCAGGTACAGTACGAACGACCCCGGATTTTCCCAAGAGATCTGTTCCATGAAACAAAGCAGCTCTGAACACAAAGACTCAGAGATACCTTCTCACAATGCAACAATGGGCAATCTGACCTGTCACCAAGTATTGCGCTCGAAGATAATTCATAGCACCTTGCGAAACGAAACGTTGGCGATCATACAACCCATGAACTCTTCGAGCAATCACCCTGCAACCCAAAACGGGATGAACGCCCCCAAGCCCCCAAGCCCAAGCGCCCAGGGGCATCAACCGAACCGAACCGAACCAATCCTTCGGCATTGCTGTTGCATTTTTACCCATTCGGCTGCCATCGACCTAAAGGTAACCTCAGAATTGCGATGAAAGTGCCATTTCCGAAAAGCTTACAGGGCATACTGTATCGGGAAGGAAGATCGCTTTTCAGGATACATATGTCAAGTAGATCATGCTACCTTGACATATTGGGAAAATGTGATTCGGTTTGAGCATTGATCAGTGATCGCTCGGAAGCGAACGGGTGGGTAGGCAAGGTACGTAAGCGAATTGCAAAAGTAGTGTACAAAAGGGTTAAATAGTTCGAGAATAGGTGCCACGGACGACCACATGGCTATGGACCACCGCTTGATAACCGGTTGTGCGAGGGATATGAAGATCATGACAATCTTTCGGGGCCCATATCAACACGATGATGGAAGGTTTTAACACTACATACACTGGTAAAAATATTAGAGACTATAAAATGCACCAAAGTTCACTGTGTCGCTCATCACCAACCTGTGATACAGAGATCTCCACCACAGCCGCGCGGTAGTTCTGTCGCAAGCGACCCTGATCGGATCAGCAAGCGAAAGAGGCAAAGAGACCGTTTGTTATTAGCCGCCGAACGGTTGGCGCGCCGTATGTTTCTTTGTTACTACTCTACGCTTGAAGGGAAACCTACGGCTTTTTCCGTTCCGTTGGTGCTTCTGTTAGACGCGATACAGCGACTATTTGGGCATAGTAGCTTTCCTGAGTCGGTAGGGAAGTAGATGTTCGTTTGTGGTCATGAAGCGAAAGTAGGCAGAAGACACTGACACAGTGCGTGTGAAAGACAAGAGGGGAGGAGGGCGCCGATAGCCTTGGGTTGAGTCCCGAGATTTTCTTCTGTTTGAGTTGGTTCGGTCGGTCGTCATCCAACGAATATCCCCCGTCCGCTTTCATTCATCATTGCACCTTATGGTTGGGTCAGAATAGGAGGTCGAGATCTCATCCACTGATCAACGGCTCGAAACATCGGCGGTGGTGGTTGTACTGATGTGCCACGTGCGGGATTCCAGGTCGTCCCGGCTGCCAAAGTCGAGCGAATGACTTGACTTGACCGGATGGCAGACCCGTTCATGCGCACCAGAATACGCCTTGTGAGGAGGTTGACTTTTTGTCAATGTGCAAGATCTGGAAGTGACAGTGTAGAGGTGAAAGTAAGTTTTCGCGGGTTCGGGTTGAGACTGATTTTGGGCCCACAAGGGCCCCCCGATGATGAGCGCTTGGACCCCCGGCCCCGGCGGATCGGCCCTGCTTTTTGCTACGACAACCCCGACCGTCCTGGGTAGAGGTATGAAGAGCTTAGCTGTAGCATGAAAAAAATTGGTAAAAAAAAAAAGTTTTCAAGATGGACTTGTTATTCCGCAGTGAAGTGGCTTTGCAGTTCCACGAAGGTGAGCTTCAGCATTTGATGTTTTCATCTGGGGAATTGGGGTGTGATCTCCTGGCACGGTGACGGAATCACATTCGTGTGAATCTAGCGGTTCTTCCCGGGACCCACTTTAATTTGTGGTTGTTGGTGGACATGGAAGAGCCCCAGGTCGTACCCTTTATGACTTTGAACTGCGTGAATGCGCCGTGCTCATTCTCCTTTGAAATGGTCAGTTATTTGACTGATCATATATGTTGTTACCTTCTAGATGAAAGCGAAGACGGAATTGACACGAGAGAAGCGAAAGTCAAGAGCAATGCGAGATCCAGATGCATCTTGCTGCGTACCTACGTAGATTCTTGCGCCCCTCCACCCCACCGCCGACGTGCGAAACCTTGTTGGCGCAGATCATCAAAAAGGCCTGGCGTTGGGGCCACCTCAGGGCCACCCAGGCCTGGGGGCTGCCAGGGCACAACTAAAATACGATTTCAACTTCAGTTCCCCGAAAAGTGACGACGATATTTTCTGCTCCCCTATTCTAAGGTAGGAAAGAAAAGAGATCTTTACACAATGGCGGGTTCTCAGATCCCCGTAACAAAGAGCGGCAAGACGCCACCTGCTTGGCGCTGTTATCAAAGCTCCAATCTTTACGCAGTCACTACGTACTCGGCCATGTTTTGGTCAAGGTGCGTAAGGTAGGTAGCCCAGCTGGCTTACCTGGATGGGTACCTATTGTCAACTTGTGCCCACCTTATCGCCCATTGGTTGCCGTGTGACGTGCCCATCGTGCATGTTTCCATCAGATCCTGTCCACAACGCCCGTCTCCTTTCTCAACAATTCCACGACAGTCGACTCCGAACCGTAATCAGATTCCCAAGCTGTATGAGAAGTTGTCGATAGTCCTCCTGGCAGTTATGAGACCCATCGTGGTTCTGATGGATGTGCCGTACATCCAGCAGATCCGGCCAGGGTGACGATGCGACGCCGATCTTGGGGGATCTTCCTATGAAGGACAGACCGTTTAATGACCGTTATTGTCTTTACGGGACTGGCTTGGGGGAAGGTCAGTTTTTGTCAATGCTGCCTACTCTGTAGATACAGATCGGTCTGTTCGTTCCCTTTGTCGTCTTCAGCCTACCTCATGCTGGGACGGGGCTAGAGGAGCGTACGTGGTGTATCACCATCACTGACGGATCTGGTCGATCGTGAAAGTATTGTCAAGGCCTGGCGTAGTAGGTAAGTGGGTAGACAAGATATTTATACAGTTAGTACGGCGCAGGGCGAAACTCACCATATCTTTGACAACGAGGTAGGCACTTGGCCCGACGTTGCCTCTGTCGGTACCAACCTGAACTTCAGGTTCCTGATGGCTCTTGCCAAGGTGTCTGAATTCTGAAATCTCTAGGTACGGTGCACAGTGTCGACATTGATGTCCCTTGATTGGATCGTAGTGCAGAAATAGTGGGTCCTTGGCGGGCAACCAACGGCAGTCTGAGGTGACGACAAACCTGGCGGCCCTGCCCTGACCTGGGCACCTGGGGCTCCTGCAAAGGGACCTGTCCGCTGCCCTGGGACCCGACTCCTAGACTAGTCGTCGCATGCCCGCCGCTGCCCGTCCGCCGTCCGCCTTTCACCCAGGTACCTTATGATCCTCTTTTCCCTCTAGCCCCAGGGCAGGCCACCCCCCCTTCCACTTCACTCTTCCTCCACAACCAAACCTGGAGCACATCCACCCGACATCATCCTGGTTTTTTCCCTTTCGATTGACACTCCCACCTCTCTACCTCTCTACAACCTACCTTCCCTGGGCCTTGTCTCTTTTGCCCGTGACAACGAAGTGTATGGAACGAAGCTTCACTTTCCGCTTCCGCTTCCGCTTCTAACCTAGTCACACCTTTTTTTTCCCACTTCACTTCCACCGACTCCCAGTCTTCCACCTCACCACCTCACCCACCCAGCCCAACCAACCAAGACTGGCTGTTTGGTCAAGTCAACAACATCAAGTACGACGACGACCCTCTCTCTACTAGGCTGACTACTGCCTTCATTCTCGGGGTGCACTACGCTCAAGTTAGCAGGCACTTGTGTTACTTTCACTTTCCTCTCTCTAGGTTGGAGTCCGATCCTGTCCTCGACAACCGTGGACGGCCTCTTCTGGTTTTCTCGCACGTCACATCAGCTTCAGATCATCTAGGCCGCGACCCTGGGATCTCCTACCCCCGACGACTTGTTTCTTATCTCCAGTGGAGGACGCATCTCAATCACCCAAGCATTCTTGCCGGCCCATTCTGCCGCGTCACTCCGTCTTCTACCCGACCTGGAAACCCTGCAGTGGAAATCCGAGGCCGATTGCTTGCTGGAGCCCCATTTTTGCCGCCATTCACGACCCTCTACCTCGATTTGTCCTGCCGTGCGCACACCGAGCCCAGATTTCGCTTTGAGTATACTTCGAATCCACGACCGGCATTCCCACGACCCAACCCCGCCGGCCGCCTGACTATAGGCAGAAAGTAGCAGAGAGAGCCCCCGTCAGACGACTGCGAGTTGGCTTGGACATCATCCAGAGGCCGCCGCTCTCTTCACCTGCAACCTCCGTTTCCGCCCTCCTCGTCCGAGCTCCTGCCTCCTCCGCGTCGGATGCCGGAACCACACAACCCGATTACCTAGGTCATCCGTATCTCCCACGATTCACACCCGGTTGCTGTCGCTCTGCCTGACCGTTCAGTCGTTCGCACCGCCGGAACCGTGGCCGAAAACACCGACAGACGCTTTTGTTCCCACCGCCTAGGGAACTTTGTCTCGTCACTCTTTGCAGCGCATCACTACTAGTCGATAGGGGA